GCCAACTCAGGATTTTAGAGGTTCCATGGCAGTGATGGGCCTGTTTCAATTAATAACTGGTCTTATCTATACAGCAGGTCACATTCTTGACCTGCTTTTTGCTGGTTAGGGTGATGGTGACTAGGGGACGTTGTGTGTGTGTGTGTGTGTGTGAAATAACGTGACTGTCACTTCCAGTCTACCTGCGAAGGAGTGAGGCCTAATCTCCCAATTCTCTGAGGAGGGTAAGCAAAATATGGTGGTTACTGTAAAACAACTGCTGTTAAATAGCTGGAAATAGCATAGCGTTACTGTCACTCTGCTATTGCACAACAAAATTAAACACTTCCCCAGCATACACCACAAAACAACACACCCATCCCCCCACACCCCAACCACTACCACATCAATGCAAAACAATGGAGTTCAACATAGCCTCAGCTTTAGGATAAAAGCTATCTCTCAGTCTGTTTGTCCTTGCCTTTATCACCCTGAATCATCTGCCAGATGACAATAATTTAAAAAAAAAGAACAATATGCCAGGTGAGAAGATCCTCAGAAATGCTCTGAGCTTTCTTAAGGCTGTGGACCTATAAAGCTCTTCCAAAAAGGAAAGAGATCAACCAATGATTCTCTGTGCAGAAGTGGTGACCCAACCCATTGGAGCACCGTCCTGTCTGCCACTGTGCAGTTATCAAGCCATGCACAGATGCAGTACGTTAGGGCACACTCTGTATCACAGCGGTAGAAAGTCACAGCATTTTTTCATTCAGTTACAGTAGTAGTAATTTTATTGATCAGCCCTTAGGCCATATCACAATAAGAAACAGAACAACAAGGCCTGACAAGACCTGATCACACTCCATGTAGTAAGTTAAAAGAAGACACTTATAACACTTATAACAATACAGTAAATAAATATGATAAGACATGATAAAACTGATAAACTGATCAAGCTGAGCATACACATCACACTTCATTATCACCCCCACAATTCACCCCAATCAGCCCTACATATGTGGTTCTCAGACGTATTGTTTTGCTTAAGTACAGAGCTGTTTTATATGTTATTTTTGGGTCTTGGCCACACATAAAATAACTTGTTCTGATGTGAGATTCCCAATACATTGTTCGTTTGATATATGGACCAAGGTGGAAGTCTCTCACCTTTTGATACAATTTGCAATCAAATAATATGTGTGCTATATCCTCAATTTCAGGTGCCCCGCAGATACAACTCCATTCATTGTTAATCATAAGATTAACAAAACAATATAAGCATAACAATTGTTGCCATAACACACATATATTCAAAGTAATCCTGCCTGTTCAAGGCAATTTAAACATTTAAAAGGCAGAGCCAAGATTTGTGAAAGCCCAAAAATTCTAGGGGGCCCGGGAATTAATTGCAATGCTATGGCAGGCAAAAATAATATTAGGTACGGGTCTGTGGCTGTTCATGCCAGGGCCAATTTGAGGAAGTGATCTGGGTAATTGGTAGGAAGAATAAGGCTGTTTTCAACAATGTGTAAGGCTGAGTTAGAACTGGTCATTTTCAAAGGCTTGTTGAAACCACCAGGGGAGGGATGGGGCCTGTCTTATTTCCCTTGGAAGGGCATTTCAGAGGCGGGGGGCCACCACCAAGAACGCCCTCTCTCTCGTCCCCACCAACCGTGCTTGTGACAGAGGTGGGACCGAGAGGAGGGCCTCCCCAGAAGATCTTAGAGTTCGTGGTTGGTGTGACGGTGCGACTGGTGCCACTTGCATGTAAATATATAGTTGAATTGTTTGGTTATCTACAGCTTTCTATCAATGTTGTTTTGCTCCCCCAGCTCAATTGTTTGACTCCACCCCTTCCCAGGGAAGAGGGCAGTGCTTTCTTTTTCATTCCACCATCAATCAGCTCAACAGATGGACGTGAGAAAGGTGTGGCTCTATGCCCTTAGTCAAGCCATCTCTTACCACCAATTCTTTAGTTTGTACTCTTAAGATTCATACTTCATGTCCAGCTCACCTGGACAACGTTGAGGAACCTTAAGCGCCTTCAAATGAGTCCTTTGGCATCAAGAGGAAGACTTTGTGCCTTCAATATAGGCTATTGGACTGGGGTTGTGAATGTTCCGACTTTCACAGACATTGAGAAAGAGGGAACTTGGAAAGCTTCTCAGCTGGAAAACTCCTTGGACCCAAGACTACAAAGACTGTAATGTATATTTTCTTTACTCCCTCCTCTTTGAAACATCAAGTTTAATGCCTCAGAAAGATAACTCATGGTGAACAATAAAGCCTATTTCGAGTTATCTATATTGTTTTGTTGGTCCTTGAGAGTTCCAGTTCTCTAAAGGAGGGCAAGAAGCAATTCCCTGGGGAAAAGATGCCATGTCCATATTTCTTTCACTAAGAACTATAGCCCCCAGGCACGACGGCACAGTTGGTTCCTTAGAAGTCTCAGGTAGTACAGTTTCTGATGGGCCCTTTTAACCAGCACTGCCATATAGGTGCCCCAGGTCAGATCTGTCAGAACTTTGTGAATAATAGGAAATTTAAATTGTGTGTTTAAATCTGGCAATGTGTGTGTATTTATTTATTTACTTCATTTAATTACCGCTTTTCTCAGCCCTTAGGCGATTCAAAGCGGTTAACAACAGCAGCAGCAAAAATTCAATGCTAACATCATACAAACCATTTAAAAACAATTAACACAATAATAACACACTAAGTAATTAAACATCAGTAAACAACTCATTAGCGTCTCATAACTAGAAACATGATCCAGCTCGTCATCCGTAGTTCCGTTTTCCTATATTCATTGCACTACCTATTCAAACGCCAGTTCAAATAACCAGGTTTTCACTTTTCTCCGAAATACCATTAGTGAGGGAGCCGATCTAATGTCCGTGGGAAGGGCGTTCCAAAGCCGAGGGGCCACCACTAAGAAGGCCCTGTCCCTCATCCCCGCCAAACGTGCCTGTGTTGCAGGCGGGATCGAGAGCAGGGCCTCCCCAGAGGATCTTAAAGTCCTAGTGGGTTTGTAGGCGGAGATGCGTTCGGATAGGTAACTTGGGCCAGAAACGTTTAGGGCTTTATAGGCCAACACCAGCACTTTGAATTGTGCCCGGTAGCAAATTGGTAACCAGTGGAGCTGGCACAGCAGAGGAGTTGCATGCTCCCTGAGTGCCGCTCCTGTTAGTATCATGGCTCCCGAACGTTGAACCAATTGAAGCTTCCGAGCAGTCTTCGAAGGCAACCCCACGTAGAGAGCGTTGCAGTAGTCTAAACGGGATGTAACCATAGCGTGGACTACCGTGGCCAAGTCAGACTTCCCAAGGTACGGGCAAAAGTCATCCAGCAAGGATGAGTGGTCAGTTTCCTAAAAAGGACATAGCAAATGTTTCTTGCTTCCTCTGATGTAGACGGACATTGTGTGATGGCACAATGTACTGGGCGTGTACTTACTGGTAAGAGTCTCACTCGATCGCCATTATGAAAATGCACGCTGAACAGAATGGCCTTTTTCTTTTTTTTAACCACTAGCTGAGCTGCTAATTGACCGGAGCAATGAGAGATTGAGGGGCTTACTTTGTATATAGTGTGAATGACTTTACAACTGCAATAAAGCTGTTTATTGCTTAAATCGGCTGCTGAGCTATGAAGTGCTTAAAGGGTGTTTGCGTGGGACTGCAGGCCTGTCGAGTCCTTGCCAAGAGTGACATTGACAGATGGTAACTCACACCCAAGTTCCAACAAGATCCTCCTTAACAACGACACCCAGGAACTTAAAAGTGGCCACCTGCTCCACTTGGTCTCCATTCATGATCAAGAAGTGAATTTCTGGTCTATTCTTTCTATAGTCCATTATGATCTCCTTGGTCTTATTGATGTTAAGAACCGGATTATTGTCCCTGCACCCACGAGAGCAGCCAATCCACCTCATCCTGATAGGCAGACATATCCCTTTTGGAGATAAGCCCCACCATGGTTGTATCATATGCAAATTTGGTAATTATATTGCTTTGGTGAACAGGGGTACAAGCATAAGCAAACAATCATATGCATACAAAGTGTAAAGCAGAGGACTCAACACACAGCCCCATGGCATCCCAATATTGAGAGTATGATTACCTAATCTAACCCTCTGGGAATGTCCAGACAAGAGTCCATAATCCAGAAACAGAATGAATATGACAACCCAAGATTCATGAGATTAGACACCAGTCTATGTGGGAGGATTGTGTTAAAAGCAGAACTAAAGTCTGCAAAAAGCATCCTCATTCTGGGACAAATGGGTCACAAGTTGGACAACCTTGGTGTACATATTTGAGTTGAGTACTCACATTGCTTTCATGTTATCTCAGGGCCCATTTATAACTGATGATTGTCTTTATGGAAGTAACTATGTGGGGCTGAATCAGCCCCATGCAGCATTTGACCAGTGGTCAATGCAGATGGGGCCTAGGTTAAAAATTATTACTGGGGGATAAGAACATGCTAGATTAATCTTCAAATGTATTTTTATATTTGTTTTTTTGTTTTATGACTCTGATTTTGCCATGGATTTATATTCTACTAATGCTGGCCACATGACTTTGGAGGTGTCTACGAACAACGCTGGCTCTTGAGTTTAGAAATGGAGATGAGCACCACACCCCAGAGTCGGACACGATTGAAATACCTTTACCTTTCCCTAATGATTTCAAACAAATTTAAAGAAAATGTTAAAATTGCAGCCTGATTTTAACTTGTTGAGAAGAACAGTGAACAGTCAGAATTCAGAAATATATTATGTACAGTTTGTGGAGGTTTTCGCCTATTTGCCAAACAACATGTATAATTCAAGTGTGCCTTACAATCGGTGAAATATGGTAGTTAGAGTCATTTGCCGCAATGATTTTAGAAATGCATACAGCTGCCTGGCATTAATATGCAGAAAGAGTCTATCTAGCCTCTTATAAACAGCGGAGTGCATAAATAGAAAGTAAGATTAACATAAATCCAACCAGGCAAGAATGTAAAATGCCTACCTTTGAGTCATAATCTTATAGGCATCTGGCAGATAGCAGCGGATATTCTCCATCTGAGCAGGATCAGAGTCACAGATTTTATCATCTGTCCTGCCATAGTTGGCACTTTCAATCATGATAACATCTGTTCCTGGGCAGCGCAATTCTATGGGGTAGCTTTCACAGGACAGTTCTCTCCGGACCACAGCCATCGGAACAGGGGCACGGCTAAAAGCTAGAGAGAGGACAAAGAGGCATATTTAATAAAACATTCTGTCTTTACACAAATGCAAACTTTAAAAAAGGCATGAATATACCACATTTCAGATTTTTCCCATGCAAAATTAAACATTACATACGTTTTTTTACAGTAGACTTTCTTTGAATAAAATGTTCTGTTGCAGCACAAATGAACTAATGAAAAGTGGTTGTTCCCAGGGTGTCTAACAAATCGCTTGCTAAATTAGAATAGGATCATAGAGTTCGAAAAGTCACAAGGGTAATCCATTCGAACCCTCTGCCATGCAGGAAAATACAATCAAAGCACTCCTGACAGATAGTCATCCAGCAATAATCCACTTATACAGATAAGATAATGAATGAGTCCAACAAATAGGTAAGCTGTGAAACTTAGACTGTTCAATTCACAGTAATCACAAAATTAAGCAACATGAAATAAGTTTTGCACAGTCTTTCAGTGATGTTGTATGTTCTTGAATCAGCCTCCCACGACCGGTTTCGGCCTTTGCTTAGGCCTTCTTCGGGTGGTCTGTAATATTACATACATAAATGCATTTTACAATAGTATAGGTTGAACATAATGTAATAGAATACATTTAGAAATACTTACAAAGTTCAGTCTTTTACATACGTTCTCATAAGAGATACTTAAATTTTTGCAATGGGATCTAGGTAAAAGGAACAAATTGTGGCTATTAACATTTAAAAGTTATATATACCAAAATAAATGTTTTACCAATACATTTCACCAAATAGGTGTATACTCACAAGGTACTCTGCTGCTAAGTTTGGTTCTAATTGCGAGTATGAATGGGATCTGGGAGTTTCCTCTATTTAAAGAGGAAAATGCACATCAGATGTAGAGGAGACAGAGAAGTTAATTTAAGGCTCATTTAAAGTTATAGGTGTGGAAAATATCACCACTAGATGGTGTTGTGAGTAAGGTACTCCCCAGGGATGTATAGTATGCCAGGGATAATACACAGAACCTCAAGGTTATATATAGCAACTGTATGAGTTGTATTCGTTAAGACCATATGGGTGTTCCGTCCGTAATCTGAAGATCCAATATGTTTCCCTTTGTAGAAGTTTAATGTTAAAGTCCATGTGTTTGGATTGTGTGACTACTTCTAATATATGGTATTTGAAGGATTCAGGATTATGCCGTAGATCATCAAAATGTTTATACAGTATGGAGTCACTGGAATTAGTTCTAATTTTGCTACGGTGTTCTATAATCCTAGACTTCACTTCTCGACGAGTTTGACCAACATACATCAGATTGCATTCACAAATAATCATATAAATAACTCCTTTGGTTGTGCATGTAGCAAAATGGGAGAATTTAATATTCAATGGTGGGTGTGTAAAATTTTTGTCTCCACCAATTGGTTACATACTGAACAATGATGGCACCGATAATTGCCAATCAGATTTGATTTCATGGTCCGAACATTATGAGTTAAATCTGAATGTCCCTTATTAGGTTCCAGTATTTTTTAATTGTTCTGATGGCTCCAGAAGTTTAGACCTGGGAATCTCCTGAGATTGAGGTAACGAAACGGCAGTTTAGGAACCGGGGATATCCTGAACATATAATACAATCATCTTATCTAAAAGTAGCTAATATTCCCAGGTCTAAACTTCTGGAGAACAAGACTAGACCTAGAGTAGAAAGATTAATATGGCCACTTACCCTCACAAATATGTCCAGTTTAGCCATCAGAACAATTAAAAAATACTGGAACCTAATAAGGGACATCCCAGGCTGTGAAAGACCCCCATTAATAGCATATAAAAGAACCAAGAACATTGGGGATTTTTTGGTACATTCAGATTTAACTCATAATGTTCGGACCATGAAATCAAATCTGATTGGCAATTATCGGTGCCATCATTGTTCAGTATGTAACCAATTGGTGGAGACAAAAATTTTTACACACCCACCATTGAATATTAAATTCTCCCATTTTGCTACATGCACAACCAAAGGAGTTATTTATATGATTATTTGTGAATGCAATCTGATGTATGTTGGTCAAACTCGTCGAGAAGTGAAGTCTAGGATTATAGAACACCGTAGCAAAATTAGAACTAATTCCAGAGACTCCATACTGTATAAACATTTCGATGATCTACGGCACAACCCTGAATCTTTTAAATACCACATATTAGAAGTAGTCACACAATCCAAACACATGGACTTTAACATTAAACTTCTACAAAGGGAAACATATTGGATCTTCAGATTACGGACGGAACACCCATATGGTCTTAACGAATACAACTCATACAGTTGCTATATATAACCTTGAGGTTCTGTGTATTATCCCTGGCATACTATACATCCCTGGGGAGTACCTTACTCACAACACCATCTAGTGGTGATATTTTCCACACCTATAACTTTAAATGAGCCTTAAATTAACTTCTCTGTCTCCTCTACATCTGATGTGCATTTTCCTCTTTAAATAGAGGAAACTCCCAGATCCCATTCATACTCGCAATTAGAACCAAACTTAGCAGCAGAGTACCTTGTGAGTATACACCTATTTGGTGAAATGTATTGGTAAAACATTTATTTTGGTATATATAACTTTTAAATGTTAATAGCCACAATTTGTTCCTTTTACCTAGATCCCATTGCAAAAATTTAAGTATCTCTTATGAGAACGTATGTAAAAGACTGAACTTTGTAAGTATTTCTAAATGTATTCTATTACATTATGTTCAACCTATACTATTGTAAAATGCATTTATGTATGTAATATTACAGACCACCCGAAGAAGGCCTAAGCAAAGGCCGAAACCGGTCGTGGGAGGCTGATTCATGAACATACAACAACATCACTGAAAGACTGTGCAGAACTTATTTCATGTTGCTTAATTTTGTGATTACTGTGAATTGAACAGTCTAAGTTTCACAGCTTACCTATTTGTTGGACTCATTCATTATCTTATCTGTATAAGTGGATTATTGGTGTTTAACTTGTCTACCAAGGAACCCATTCATATTGTGTTAGATAGTCATCCAGCCTCAACTAAAAAATCTTCAGACTCCAGCAGGCAGCATGTTCCACTACGGAGCAGCTTGAATCCATTCCTTCATGTCCTAGTCTAGGCATCCCCAAACAAAGGTTTGCGAGTCAGAATGTGTGGCATAGTAGTTTGAACCTCGGATTGTAGCTCTGAATCCAGAGTTATTTTACTCATCACTCTCTCTCAACCTCAGAGGAAGACAAAGAAAAATCCACTTTGAATAAATCTTGATCCAAAAATTATGTGCTAGCGTTGCCTTAGGGCAGGGGTCCTCAAACTAAGGCCTGGATATGACCCTCCAAGGTCATTTACCTGGCCCTCACTCATGGTCAACCTAAGTCTGAAATGACTTGAAAGCGCACAACAACAACAACAATCCTATCTCATCAGCCAAAAGCAGGCCCACATTTCCCATTGAAATACTAATAAGTTTATATTTGTTAAAATTGTTCTTTATTTTAACTATTGTATTGTTTTAAGAAGTCTTTTTGTACTACAAATAAGATAATAATAATAATATTTATTTATACCCCGCCACCATCTCCCCCGATGGGGACTTGGAGCGGCTTACATGGGGCCAAGCCCGAACAACAAATTGCAATACAAAAAGTACAAATTGCAATAAAATAAGCGACATAACATTAAAGTATAAAACATCAAAGCATATAAACAATATACACAGAACAAAGAGCCTAAACATAATGACAAAGGGCGGGCCGCATGCACATAAAATAATTTAAAAACTCAGGGTGAGATAAAGGGGCAGAACTATTTGTAGAGGAGAGCTCATAGAGAGATATGTGCAGTATGCATAGCAATTCATTCATGATTTTTTCAAATTATAAACCGGCTCTCCCAACAGTTTGAGGAACTGTGACCTGGCCCTCTGTTTAAAAAGTTTGAGGACCCTGCCTTAGAGTCACCCTCAGTCGCGTCAGACTGAATGCACACAACAACAACCACTACCACCATCACCCTAATTAACTTGACTATCTCATCAACCACACTACTCATTGAAATACTGGTAAGTTTATGTTGGCTAAAGTTGTTCTTCATCTTAAATATTGAATCTTTCTGTCATGTTTTTTTTACTACAAATAACATATGTGCAGTGTGCATAGGAATTTGTCATTTTTTCAAACGAAAGTCCGTCCCCCAACAGTCTGACAGACCATGAACCAGCCCTCAGCTTAAAATTGTTTATTTATGTATTTATTTACGTCACTTCTATCCCGCCCATATCAGCCCGAAGGCGACTCAGGGCAGTGTACCAATCAGCAACAATTAGATGCCATATATAAAAATACATACATTGGTTAAAAGCAAAAAAATCACATCACAATACATTTAAAAACCATAAAAGCAATAAACAATAAAAATTATAAAAACTATGTCTTCTTGTTCAATTCCTCAACTGTTCCATCATCTTAGCTGTTCCTAGTTCATATTCCAGTTTGAGTTTATCTGGTCATGCTGAAGTTCCAAATGCTTGCTCAAAGCGCCAGGTTTTCACTCTTTTTCAAAAGGTCAGGATGGAGGGGGGCAATCTAATAGGCAGGGAATTCCACAGCCAAGGGGTCACCACAGAAAAGGCCCTGTCTCTCGTCCCTGCCATACGTGCTTGTGAAGCACACAGGATCGAGAGCAGAGCCTCCTCAGATGATCTCAAGTTCTTTGAAGGTTCATAGGGAAAGATGCGTTTGAATAGATAAGCTGGGCCAGAACCGTTTGGGGACCCCTGTCCTAGCCTCTAGAGCTGAAGAAAACAAGCATAGTAAAGGTAAAGGTAGTCCCCTGACATTAAGTCCAGTCATGTCTGACTCTGGGGTGTGGTGCTCATCTCCATTTCTAAGCCGAAGAGCCAGCATTGTCCGTAGACACCTCCAAGGTCATGTGGCTGGCATGACTGCATGGAGCGCCGTTATCCTAAATGTGACATCCTTTCAAATATTTATA